TTTTTTTTTAATTTTAGATTTGGGGGCACATGTGCATGTTTTTTTTTTCTCTTGAACATATTGCATAATGGTAGGGATTGGGCTTCTAGTGTGCCCGTCACTCAAATACTGAACATCGTGTTCAATAGATAATCTGTCAACCCTCACTCCCTCCTCTCTCTGCCCCATTCTGGAGCCCCCATTGTCTATTATTTCTATTTTTATGTCCATATGTACCCATCGTTTGCCTCCCAACTTGTAAGTGAGAACATGCAGTATTTGACTTTCTGCTTCTGAGTTAGTTCACATAGGATAATAGTCTCCAGCTCCATCCATGTTACTGCAAAGGATAGAATTTCATTTTTTTGTGGCTACTTAGTGTTCCCTGGTGTATACGTAGCACACTTTCTTTATTCAATCAACTGTTGATGGACACTTACTTTGATTCTGTGACTTTCCTATTGTGAATAGTGCTACAATAAACATAAGAGTTTAGATGTCTTTTCATATAATGACTTCTTTTTGGGGGTGTATATACTGAGTATTGGGATTACTGGGTGGAATAGTAGATCTTTTTTTAATTTGTGGAGATATCGCCATACTGTTTTCCATAGAGGTACAACCAATTATGTTCCCACCAACAGTGTATTAGCATTCCCTTTTCTTTGCATCCATGCCAACACCTGCTGTTTTTTATTTTATCATTAATAATACTTAAGGAATAGGCACTTCTTTCAAGGAGATTTGTGACAAGAGGAAGCGAAGAAATGTAGTCACAGCTAATAGAAGAATAAGATGAAATGATGGACTTTCCTTTATTGCCTGTATTTACAGTTTTAATTGATGGTAAATTTGCAGTTTTGTTGAAGCAACTATGCAAATGGAAGGGCTTTTTTGGTTCACTATTTAAAGAGAATTCTTTTACAGTATTTTCAGAAGTTTTCTTAATATTTTTGGTCTCGGTAGGTCCTGGCAATCAAACTACTCCCTTTAAGAAAAAACCATTAGATGCCTTTGATCCTGTTTGGTTGGCATCATGGAAGCAGAGCTGGTAGAATTGGTCAGAATATTAATACATTTTAAAGGAAGAGCAAACTGTATATCCTGGATTGAAGATGTAATGTGATTGGAAGAGAAGAAGAAAGAATGACTAGCAAGATTCTCTTATTATAGTTTTATTAACTGTCTGTCCATTCTTTCTTTAGTTATTTGAAATTGTTAATGGATTTTTTCCCAGAAAAGGAAGACTTTATAAGGTCAACCCAGCTTGTAGCATTTTGCTATTGCAATAATAAACGTGTATGTCTATTTTCAGTGGCTGATAGAACAATGGATTTGAACCATAGCTTGGACTTACCGGATATTTGAACATTCTACCCAACAGCTGCAGAATATACATTCTATTGGTCAGCAGATGAAACATTCTCCAAGACAGACTATGTGATAGGCCACAAAACAAGTCTCAATAAATTTAAGAAAATTGAAATTCTATCAAGTGCTCTTTCAGAACACAGTGGGATTAAGTTGAAAATCAACTCCAAAAGGAGCCCTCAAAACTATGCAAATATGTAGAAATTAAATAACCTGCTCCTGAATGATTGTTGGGACAAGGATGAAATCAAGATGGAAATTAAAAAATTCTTTGAATGGAATGATAATAGTGACACAAGGTACCAAAAACATATAGAAATCTCTGGGATACAGCAAAGGCAGTGCTAAGAGGAAAGTTCAAAGCCTTAAAGGCCTGCATCAAAGAGTTTGACGGAGCACAAATAAACAATCTAAGGTCACACCTCAAGGAACTAGAGAAACAAGAACAAACCAAAGCCAAACCCAGCAGAAAAGAAATAACCAAGATTAGAGCAGAACTAAATGACATTGAAACGAAAAAAATACAAAAGATAAATGAGACCAAAAGCTGATTCTTTGAAAAGATAAATAAAATTGATGGATCATTAGCAATATTAACCAAAAAAGAACAGAGAAGATCCAAATAAGCTCAATTAGAAATAAAATGGGAGATATTACCACCAGTACCACAGAAATACAAAAAGATCACTCAAGGCTGCCATGAGCACCTTTCTGTGGGTAAACTAGAAAACCTAGAGGAGATGGATAAATTCCTGGAAATATACAACCCTCCTAGATTAAACCAGGAAGAATTAGAAACCCTGAAAAGACCAGTAACAAGCAGTCAGATTGAAATCCTACAAAAAAATGTTAACCAAAAAGTCCAAGATCAGACAGATTCACAGCTGAATTCTATCAGACATTCAAAGAAGAATCAGTATGAATCCTGTTGACACTATTCCACAAGATAAAGAGGAAATCCTCCCTAAATCATTCTATGAAGCCAATATCACCCTAATACCAAAGCCAAGAAAGGACATAACAAAAAAAGAAAAGTACGGACCAATATCACTGATGAATATACATGCAAAAATTCTCAACAAAGTACTAGCTAACCAAATCCAACAGCTTATCAGAAAGGTAATCCACTACGATCAGATGAAACCTACTGCATCCCTGCATGCCAAAAAATGCAATCATGGTTTAACATACAGAAATCAATAAACGTGACACACCATGTAAACAGAATTAAAAACAAATATCACATTATCATCTCAACAGATGCAGAAAAAGCATTGGACAAAATCCAGCACTGCTTTATGGTTACAACCCTCAGCATAATAGCTATAGAAGGGACATAACTTAAAGTAGTAAAAGCCGTCTATGACAAACCCACAGCCAATATAATACTAAACAGGAAAAAGTTGAAAGCATCCCCTCTGAGAACTGGAACAAGACAATGATGCCCACTCTCACCACTTCTATTCAACATAGAACTGGAAGCCCTAGCCAGAGCAATCAGACAAGAGAAAGAAATAACGGGCATCCAAATCAGTAAAGACGAAGTCAAACTGTCGCTGTTTGCTGATGATAAGATTGTATACCTAGAAAATTCTAAAGACTCCTCCAAAAGCTCCTAGAGCTGAAAAATAAACTCAACAAAATTTCAGGGATACAAAATTAATGTTTACAAACTAGTAGCTCTGCTATACATCAACAGCAACTAAGCTGAGAAACAAATCAAGAACACAACCCCTTTTACAACAGCTGCAACAAAATAAATAAAATACTTAGGAATATACCTAACCAAGGAGGTGAAAGACCTCTACGAGGAAAACTATAAAACACTGCTGAAAGAAATCATAGATGACACAAATGGAAACACATCCCATGCTCTAGCATCTCGTGTGAAATTTCAACATTGTGAAAATGACCATACTGCCAAAAGCAATCTACAAATTCCATGCAATTCCTATCAAAATACCACCATCATTTTTCACAGAACTAGAAAAAACAATCCTAAAATTCATATGGAACCAAAAAGAGCCCACATACCAAAGCAAGACTCAGCAAAAAGAACAAATATGGAGGCATCACATTACCTGACTTCAAGCCATACTGTTAATATAAGGTCATAGTCATCAAAACAGCATGGTACTGATACAAAAGTCAATAGACCAATAGAACAGAATAGAAAACCCAGGTATAAAGTCAAATAGTTACTGCCAACTGATCTTTGACAAAGTAAACAAAAATATAAAGTGGGGGAAATGACATCCTATTCAACAAATGGTGCTGGGATAATTGGCAAGCCACATGTAGAAGAAGGAAACTGGATCCTCACCTCCCACCTTATACAAAAAATCAGCTCAAGATGGATGAAGACTTAAATCTAAGACCCAAAACTGTAAAAATTCTAGAAGATAACATCAGAAAAATCCTTCCAGACACTGACTTAAGCAAAGGCCTCATGACCAGTAACTCTAAAACAAATGCAACAAAAGCAAAAAGATAAATAGATGGGACTTAATTAAACCAAAAAGCTTCTGCACAGCAGAAGAAACAATCCAGAGAGTAAACACACAACCTACAGAATGGCAGAAAATCTTTGCAACCTGTACATCTAACAAAGGACTAATATCCAGAATCTGCAAGGAACTCAAACAAATGATCATGAATAAACCGAACAGTCCTATCAAAAAGTGGGCCTAGGACCTGAATAGAAAATTCTCAAAAGAAGATAAACAAGTGGCCACAAAACATATGAAAAAATGCTCAACATCACTAATGATCAGGGAAATGCAAATCAAAACCACAGTACAATACCACCTTGCTCCTGCAAGAATGGCCAAAATAAAAAAATATTTAAAAAGTAGATGTTGGTGGGGATGCGTTGAAAAGGGAACACTTTTACACTGCTGGTGGGAATGTAAACTAGTACAACCACTATGGAAAACAGTGTGGAGAATTCTTCAAGAACTAAAAGTAGAACTACCATTTGATCCAGCAATCCCACTACTGGGTCTCTACCCAGAGGAAAATAAATCATTATTTTAAAAAGATTCTTGCACACGCGTTTATGGCAGCACAATTTGCAATTGCAAAAATATAAAACTAGCTCAAATGTCCATCAATCAACGAGTGGATAAAGAAATTGGGGTGTATATGTATACCATGGAATACTACTCAGCCATGAAAAGGGACAAACTATTGGCGTTCACAGCAACCTGGATAAAACTGGAGACCATTATTCTAAGTGAAGTAACTTAGGAATGGAAAACCAACATTGTTGTTATCATTCATAAATGGGATCTAAGCTATGAGGATGCAAAAGCATAATAATGATATAATGGACTTATGCAAAGGCATAAGAATGACACAATGGTTTTTTTTTTTTTTTTTTTTTGTATGTCAATGATATAACTAATGTTTTGGATTATGCATTACAAGATTTTCTTGAGAACAAAGGCCAGCTCAGCTGGTGAGAACAGCTCGTACACACCTCCCATACTGCCGCCTGGCCACACTCTGCATCTGTTCCCCAGAATGTTCCTTTACTTGTTCTACTGACTGAACTTTTCAACCCAGCTGAAAATCCATTTTTGTTTCATTTTCTCTTCTAGCCATAAAACTATTAATAGATTCAAATGAAATCCATAGCCTGGACATATCTCACCACTCAGTCAACTGATAATTCCTGAGAAATACTCTCTGGTTTGAATTCCAGGAAGAAGTTAGAGGAAGAGGTGTTTCTTTCTCAGAGAAGGAGCTATCGAGCATCTGCTCTAAGCCAGACACTTAGTAGTAAACACAAAGCTGCTCTCAGTGAACTGGCAGACGATGAGAAGTGGCCACGCCGTGGCTGTTCTATGAGAGTAGAGGCATGGGATTGTCCCGTTAGTCATGTGAAGGGTGTGATGGAGAGAGAAAGGCCAGGAATCACACTGATGTTTCTGTATAAAAGAAGGGAAGGGAGGGAGGGAAGGAGAGAGGGAATAAATGTGGATCTCCTTAAAAGGAAACACCGGGTTATCAATACCTGGCATAAAACCATGGCATTGAAATTTATGCATTCAGTGAACATTTATTGAGCACTTACCTTGTGACAGGCAATTTATGAAGTGCCGGGATGTTCCAGGATAGAGAGGAGGCTGAGCAAACCCACCTTGCTGTATAGAGTGGTCGAACCTTGCTGGAGGAATGAGAAAAACAGAACACAAAATAGTCACAAAGAGCTCTCGGTAACAAGAAGGATGGTTGCTGGGTTCCAAACTGTGATTAAATTTAAAAAAATTTTTTTTTACTGTATTGTGACCTTTATTTTAAAAATGTTTATACAAGTCATTTAAGTAATATAATACCTTCTTGTGTGTAAAATTCAGACATTACAGATTTATACCTTGACCTCATTTCTTCCAAACCCAGTGTCCCCCCTACAAGGAATGCCTTCTTTTGACATTTTCTAGTACATTTATGAGTGTTTGTGTGTACCTATGAGATCAATTTTATTTTTTTGTCTTTAAAATAATTGGTCTCATATTATGCATGTTTTCTTCATGCCTTTTCATACTACAGCATTTCTTGAAGATATAGCCATGCCAGTACTGATAATTTTGTTTTTCTTTTATATATAGTCTATACACTGACTACTTGATTAAAAACTGTATTGCAAAAAATTTCAAATGTATGCAAAAGTAGAGAACCATCATCCCCAGATTATTTTAAAGCAAATCTCAGCTATTATATAATTTCATACACAAAACCTAAAGTTTTTCAGGGGAACAGTGTGTGCTGGGAAAGATGTAATTGAAAAGAAAGACTGAAAGCAAGTCATAGGGCATAATGGATTTCTGAAGAAATAGTTGTAACCAGCTTTACCCATGTCCCTACAAAGGACGTGAAGTCATCATTTTTTATGGCCGCATAGTATTCCATGTTGTATATGTGCCACATTTTCTTAATCCACCGACATGGCACATGTGTACATATGTAACAAACCTGCATGTTGTGCACATGTACCCTAGAACTTAAAGTGTAATACAAAAAAATAAAAAAATAGTTGTAACCAGCAAAAGTATGGGCTATTGCGCAGAGGATTTGGAAGTCAAAGAAGATCAATCTCTGTGGATCACTGACAGGATTGCTGGAATGCCTGAGAAGGAAATAACATCAACATCTTTATGCACAACTTACTAGGTGGCCAGATGCCCTGAACTGATATTTCTTCCCCAGGTCAGATGAATAACTGGGGTATTACTCAAAATTCTGTTGCATATCTGTTTCAAGAAAAAGCAGTTCCTCTTTCCCTTCTGTGGTAATTTCTTATCAGCCACAGTTCTGGGCAGGGTGTGAGGGTGGTTACCTAGAATGGGGTTTCCAAATCTCCTCAATTGTGACCTTTGACTCTTTTCATTGCTTCCATGTCCATACCTAGAGTCAAAATCCAAGGAATGCAGTGGGATGACGTTACGAATTCATCTTAAGGAAATACCTTATATGCCAACACAACTGTGTGATTGTGCTGATTTATATGAATGGAAACTTGGGGTGTATGCTTGGAAATGAATTGTCAGGGTTCTAGACCAGGGAAAGTGGAATTTATTGTCGGGTCAAGCACGACCAATATTAACGTTAATGCATCCTCATAGCTTAGCTCCCACTTATGAGTGAGAACTCTCACCTTTCTCCAAGAATCTGCAGGAGAACAAGAGCTTCTGAGATTTTGATTCACATGAAAAGAAATAGAGAAACAAGAGCGCATACCTAAAACCCAGGTGTCTGAGAGACAGAGGGCGGGTGGCCCTCACCTGGGGGGATGGGTAAAGAAGACACAAGTGTTTTCTCTACTTCTGTCCCTAGGTCCTGCTAAGGATCAAGGTCTATGCTCTCCCAGAACCTCTGGAGAAGAAAGCGGAGGATTTTCTTTCAAGGCCAAGTGCCTTGCCCCCAGGATCTCCAGCTTTTTACCATTGCACAGGCTAGGAAAATGCACACCTTCCTGGTAGATTCTGCACAGTGGAGAAAAGGCTTCATGAGAAGCATGGAGGCTGGAATTCACACCCCTCAGCCTCACTCCATCATCTTTATCTGTGCATTTCCCTGGTGACCCCTTCCTCCCCCAGTACCTCCCTCACTGTCATTTCTGCTGCATCACAGACACAGGCCTCCAAACGGGTGTGGTTGTGACTGAGTCTGTTTCTAACACCCCACCCCTTCTCACTCTGTGGGGAAACCTTCCTGGGAGGGGCTTGGAATCAGGAATAAAAGCCAGAGGGCAGGGGTGACAGGGACCCTTTAAATTCTGCAACTCAGAGATTCACACAGAAGCCTGGACACAATTCAGAAGAGCAGCCCAGATTGAGGCAACAATGTCACCGTTACCCGTGAGTTGAAAAGGCGTAGCCTTCCATAATCTCAAGTTACATAAAGAAGAGAAAGAGGGAGATTTTATGAGATGAAAATATCAGCATTTCCAGTGAATGCTTTACTGAGAGTTGTGAAGGTACCGAAGAGAGACCCCGGGGAAATGGTATCTGAGATGGCTGTAGGGTGTGGTGTGTGGAGCCTGGGTTAGCATAACCTTCTGTGCGTGTGTGATAGTGTCTGATAGGGTGAACTCTGCACAAATGATGTGACTTTAAGTAGGAGGTGGATGGGTCTGTGAATATAAGGGGATAACTGTGCTTTGTTTTCATGACTGTGATGTGAGTGTGTGTGTGAGCCCTGCCAGACCAGTGCATGGGCATCTTTATATGCATGGTGAGCAGTGATGCATGACTCAGTGAGCGGCATGGCTCTGTGTGACTGTGGGTGTGTGTGCTGGGATGTGACTGGGTATTAAACTGGGAACATGCATTGGCCTTTCATTCATGTGAAGGTTCCTCCCCACACAGAAATGCCTCTGATGAAGCAGCTGTGCACCTTCCCATGTGTGTTAATGTGGATCTCAGGTGGCAGAGCTGTTGGGGATCTTGGGAACCATGAGTTATTGAGGACTCGTCTCTGAGCATGCTTAAGAGCAGAATGCATGAATCCTCAGGTGCCTCTTCCCAAGCAGAGTGGGAAAGAGAAGCAGGTTATGGGGCCCATGGTTCCTCAAGTGGGGTCTGCACAGTGACCATTGGCTCCTGCTCCCAGGCTCAACTTCCCTGTCTCCACCTCCTGCTGTTCCTCCCATTGTGTGCCAGGATGATGAGCAGATCCTGATTCGCTAGGGAAGGACATTGAGAGACTTGGGTTCAAAGATAGAATCACCTAAAACAAGAAAGTAACATGTTTGACTTCAGTTCAGGCAGAGCTTCCAATGGACATTCATCAAGTTTGCTAAGGCCTGTAATCACAGCACTTTGGGAGGCCAAGAGGGGAGGATCACTTGAGGCTGGGAGTTGGAGACCAGTCGGGGAAACACAGCGAGATTCCATCTTTCCAAAATTAAAAAATTTGCCAGGCATGGTGGTGCATGTCTGTAGTCATAGGTGTCTGGGGGGTGGTTGATGTGAGAGGATCACTGAGGCCCAGGCGTTCAAGGCTGCAGGGAGCTGTGATGGTGCCGTTGCATTCCGGCCTGGACGACAGTGTGAGACCCTGTCTCAAAAAGGAAAAACGTCATTCACTTATCGATTCCTTCCAATTGCTTCCCCAACTCACACTTTTCATGTGTGCAAGTACTGAGGCCGTGCTCTCAGCAATGTGTGCCCCTTCTGGGAAGGACATCCATTGCCCTTGATGGTTGTGATGCATGTGCCTCCCACACAGAGGGGTTTCCTGTTCTTTTATCATTTCTCTCTCTCTTTCAACGAGTGTTGTTTCTCATGGAGTGACTCTCTGCTGTTACATCCTCCAGTCTTGTTTTCAGTTTCAGAGTTGAAACTGATCACAGGTCAGTGTTCCATAAGGACCCTCCCCATTCTGCCAGGTCATAACCAACAAGCCCTATACATACCAGGGATTAGGCTAAAGATTTTACATGTATTAATTCCTGAATTACTGAAAACACCCTGCAAAGTAGGAGATTTTGATAATCCCCCTTGTACTCGGGACACTGAGGTAGGGAGCATTTAAGTAATGAATCTAAGGTTGCATTGCTGGCTGGGTAGAGTGGCTACCCCTGTAATCCAGCAGTTTGGGAGGCTGAGGCAGGAGGATCCCTTGAGCCCAGGTGATCCAGACCAGCCTGCACAACATCATGAATCCCCGACTCTCCAAAAACGTAAAAAATTAGCCGGATGTATGGTGTGCACCTGTAGCCCCAGCTACTCAGGGGCCTGAGGTGAGAAGATCCCTTGAGCCTGAGGAATTGAAGCTGTAGTGAGCCCTGATCACCCCACTGTACTCCAGCCTGGGAGGTAAAATGAGACCCTGTCTCGACAAACAAACAAACAAAAAGTTTTAAAAAAAGTTAACTTCCCACTGCTAATAAGAGGCAGAATCAAGGATGGAATCAAGGCAGCCCAGTTTCTGAAACTCTGCTTTTTTTTTCTCTCTCTCTCTGTTGGCCAGTCTGGAGTGCAGTGGCGTGATCTCGGCTCACTGCAACCTCCACCTCCCAGGTTCAAGCGATTCTCCTGCCTCAGCCTTGCAAGGTGACATTTTCTAGTACATTTATGAGTGTTTGTGTGTACCTATGAGATCAATTTTATTTTTTTGTCTTTAAAATAATTGGTCTCATATTATGCATGTTTTCTTCATGCCTTTTCATACTACAGCATTTCTTGAAGATATAGCCATGCCAGTACTGATAATTTTGTTTTTCTTTTATATATAGTCTATACACTGACTACTTGATTAAAAACTGTATTGCAAAAAATTTCAAATGTATGCAAAAGTAGAGAACCATCATCCCCAGATTATTTTAAAGCAAATCTCAGCTATTATATAATTTCATACACAAAACCTAAAGTTTTTCAGGGGAACAGTGTGTGCTGGGAAAGATGTAATTGAAAAGAAAGACTGAAAGCAAGTCATAGGGCATAATGGATTTCTGAAGAAATAGTTGTAACCAGCTTTACCCATGTCCCTACAAAGGACGTGAAGTCATCATTTTTTATGGCCGCATAGTATTCCATGTTGTATATGTGCCACATTTTCTTAATCCACCGACATGGCACATGTGTACATATGTAACAAACCTGCATGTTGTGCACATGTACCCTAGAACTTAAAGTGTAATACAAAAAAATAAAAAAATAGTTGTAACCAGCAAAAGTATGGGCTATTGCGCAGAGGATTTGGAAGTCAAAGAAGATCAGTCTCTGTGGATCACTGACAGGATTGCTGGAATGCCTGAGAAGGAAATAACATCAACATCTTTATGCACAACTTACTAGGTGGCCAGATGCCCTGAACTGATATTTCTTCCCCAGGTCAGATGAATAACTGGGGTGTTACTCAAAATTCTGTTGCATATCTGTTTCAAGGAAAAGCAGTTCCTCTTTCCCTTCTGTGGTAATTTCTTATCAGCCACAGTTCTGGGCAGGGTGTGAGGGTGGTTACCTAGAATGGGGTTTCCAAATCTCCTCAATTGTGACCTTTGACCCTTTTCATTGCTTCCATGTCCATACCTAGAGTCAAAATCCAAGGAATGCAGTGGGATGACGTTACGAATTCATCTTAAGGAAATACCTTATATGCCAACACAACTGTGTGATTGTGCTGATTTATATGAATGGAAACTTGGGGTGTATGCTTGGAAATGAATTGTCAGGGTTCTAGACCAGGGAAAGTGGAATTTATTGTCGGGTCAAGTACGACCAATATTAATGTTAATGCATCCTCATAGCTTAGCTCCCACTTGTGAGTGAGAAATCTCACCTTTCTCCAAGAATCTGCAGGAGAACAAGAGCTTCTGAGATTTTGATTCACATGAAAAGAAATAGAGAAACAAGAGGGTATACCTAAAACCCAGGTGTCTGAGAGACAGAGTGCGGGTGGCCCTCACCTGGGGGGATGGGTAAAGAAGACACAAGTGTTTTCTCTACTTCTGTCCCCAGGTCCTGCTAAGGATCAAGGTCTATGCTCTCCCAGAACCTCTGGAGAAGAAAGCAGAGGATTTTCTTTCAAGGCCAAGTGCCTTGCCCCCAGGATCTCCAGCTTTTTACCATTGCATAGGCTAGGAAAATGCACACCTTCCTGGTAGATTCTGCACAGTGGAGAAAAGGCTTCATGAGAAGCATGGAGGCTGGAATTCACACCCCTCATCCTCACTCCATCATCTTTATCTGTGCATTTCCCTGGTGACCCCTTCCTCCCCCAGTACCTCCCTCACTGTCATTTCTGCTGCATCACAGACACAGGCCTCCAAATGGGTGTGGTTGTGACTGAGTCTGTTTCTAACACCCCACCCCTTCTCACTCTGTGGGGAAACCTTCCTGGGAGGGGCTTGGAATCAGGAATAAAAGCCAGAGGGCAGGGGTGACAGGGACCCTTTAAATTCTGCAACTCAGAGATTCACACAGAAGCCTGGACACAATTCAGAAGAGCAGCCCAGATTGAGGCAACAATGTCACCGTTACCCGTGAGTTGAAAAGGCGTAGCCTTCCATAATCTCAAGTTATGTAAAGAAGAGAAAGAGGGAGATTTTATGAGATGAAAATATCAGCATTTCCAGTGAATGCTTTACTGAGAGTTGTGAGGGTATGGAAGAGAGACCCCGGGGAAATGGTATCTGAGATGGCTGTAGGGTGTGGTGTGTGGAGCCTGGGTTAGCATAACCTTCTGTGCATGTGTGATAGTGTCTGATGGAGTGAACTCTGCGGAAATGATGTGACTTTAAGTAGGAGGTGGATGGATCTGTGAGTATAAGGGGATAACTGTGCTTTGTTTTCATGACTGTGATGTGAGTGTGTGTGTGAGCCCTGTCAGACCAGTGCATGGGCATCTTTATATGCATGGTGAGAAGTGATACATGACTCAGTGAGCGGCATGGCTCTGTGTGACTGTGGGTGTGTGTGCTGGGATGTGACTGGGTATTAAACTGGGAACATGCATTGGCCTTTCATTCATGTGAAGGTTCCTCCCCACACAGAAATGCCTCTGATGAAGCAGCTGTGCACCTTCCCATGTGTGTTAATGTGGATCTCA